TAAATAACTCTTTCTAGAAACCTATTTACAAAAAAAATTAAAAATTGATATAATTATATAAATATTTTAAATAGAATTTAATAGTCTTTCATGAGAAAAGATCTAGAATTGGAAAGCATTTGTAAAGATAAATAATAACTAAGATGTACAGTACTTACCATGTTCAGCCTGTTCTAAATGCTATATTTGAGAGTATGTGTATGCATACATGTATCTGAATGTTTATTTGTACATATGTTGCTCACAATTATGTAAATAAATAAATAAACGTTCCTTACACGATCCTATTAAGATGAAGCAACTGAGACAGAGCAAGGCTAAACAATTTTTCCAAGCTGAATCCAGGGATTTGGGCATCACAGCGCATGTTTTTAATAATTACTCTATGTAGCTTGGCCAGTGTGGTTTAGTGTTTAGAGTGTCAGCCCACGCACCTAAGGGTTGAGGGTTCAATTCCCGGTCAAGGGCACATACCTAGATTGCAGGTAGTAGCTTGTAAGCTATTAGCATGTGCATTTTCTGGAAAGCATGAATCTTGTCACACAACTCTGCTGCTTAAAACTCAATAGCTTCTGCCCTGGCCAGTTTGGCTCAGTGGTTAGAGCGTCAGCCTGCGGTCCACAGAGACCCGGGTTCGGTTCCCACTAAGGGCAGGTACCTTGGCTGCAGTTTGTCCCCGGCCCCGCTCTATCTGAATAAAAAATGGAAAAATGTCCTCGGGTGAGGATAAAAAAAAAAAGAACTCAATAGCTTCCTTTGGCTATTAGAATTAACTACAGAATAAATTCCTAAATAAGACCCATAAAATCTTCCATATTCTAGCCCCTACTTTCTCTTACTATTCCCTCATATGCACCCTACTCTTTTTTTTTTTTTTTTTAATCCTCACCCGAGGATATTTTTTTTTACATTTTTCTTCAGATAGAATAGAAGGTAGGGAGGGAGAGAAATAAATATCGATGTGAGAGAAACACATCGACTGGTTGCCTCTTGCATGACCTGACCAGGGTTGGGGATTGAACCGAAACCAAGGTACATGCCCTTGACCAGAATTGAACCCGTGACTGTTTGGTCCCAGGGCCGAAGCTCTAACCGCTGAGCAAAACCAACCACGGTGGCACCCTACTCTTTCAAAAACAAAAAACTAAGTCCTTCAAAGGGCCGTGGTGTTTCAACACCATGACTTCACACATAATGTTGTTTTTATCTGGAATGTCCTATTACTGCTTGTGTCCTGGCAAACTTCAATTTATTCTCCAAGACTTATCCTAAATGCCACAAATTTAATGAAGCATTTCTTACCTGACAAAGTTATATGCTCCCATTTCTTGCTTCTATTGCATCTGACACAACCTTCAATTACAGTGTTTATTCCGATGTACTATTATTGTTTGGAGACCTGTCTAACCACTATTTCACAGTGGGATGGAGATTATGTCTTTTTTAATGTCTACCTCTCCAACATCTAGTACAATTCTTGACATTTAGTAAGTACTCAGTAAATTTTAAAAAATTTATTTTTCCTTTATTGATTTTAGAGAGAGAGGAAGTGAAAGGGAGAGAGACATAGAAACATCCATGAGAGAGAATATCAACTGGCCGCCTCCCGCATGCCCCCCACTGGGGATCAGGCCCACAATCTGGGCATGTGTCCTGGCCAGGAATCGAACCAGCGACCTCTTGATGCATGGGTCAATGATCAACCACTGAGCCACACCGGCCTGACTCAGTAAATTTTTTAAATTAATCAATTAAAATATCCATTTCCAACATTTTAGATGCCAGTGGAAAGAAAATCTACCAGATAAATCTGTCACTGTTAAATCTTATCATCAGCCCTGGCTGGTTCGGCTCAGCGATTAGAGCACTGGCCCACAGACCAGAGAGTCCCAGGTTCGGTTCCTGCTAAGGGCATGTACCTCAGTTGCAGTTGGTCCCTGGCCCTGGTTGGGGTCATGTAGGTGGCAGCCAGTCAATGTGTCTCTCTCACATCAATGTTTCTCTCCCCCACCCCCACTCTATCTGAAAATAAATGCAAAAAAAAAAATCTTGTCATCACCTCAGTACTTTTTATGTCTTTAAATGTGACTTTCAATCAATCATGTTATCTGAATAGAATGCAGTTCCAAATGTACTAATGAACTTTCAATATGCACTAATATACCTTCAATGTGTTATGAATATGTTAAAACGAGAATTTAAACAATACATGATGGTGTATAAATGTACTAAATTTACAAATGTAACAAATATATTACAATTTTCAATGTACTAAAACATATTGATGCCCGATCATGACTATGGCTACATTATGTGAGATTGAGTCTTTTCTTCTGTTTCTTAAATTCTCACACATTTTAAAGTTAAAATAAAAATACCTGCCCTGGCCGGTTTGTCTCAGCGATTAGAGCGTTGGCCCACAGTCCAGAGACCCGGATTCGGTTCCCGCTAAGGGCACGTACCTCAGTTGCAGTTTGTCCCCGGCCCCGATTGGGGTCGTGTGGGAGGGTTGGGGTCGTGCGGGAGACAGCCACTCGATGCATCCCTTTCATGTAGATGTTTCTCTCTCTCTCTTCCTCTTTCTCCCTCCCACTCATCTGAACAAAAATGGGAAAATGTCCTTGGGTGAGGATAAAAAAATATATATATATATCCATCTAGTAGTTGACATGGTAGAAATGTACAAATAAGTGTCCTTAAAAAATTCACTGCAGTCCAGAGGTTGGCCCTCAGTTTGCTATAGACCAAATGTTTGTGTACCCCCCACACAATTCGTATCTTGAAACCCTAACCCACAATGTGGTGGTATTAGGAGGTGGGGATAGGTGATTAGGCCCTGAGGGCAGAGCCTCCATGAATGAAATTAGTGCATTTACAAAAATATTACAAAGAGCTCCCTCCACCCTTCCACCTTGTGTGAGGACAGAGCAAGAAGAACTCACTTTATGAACCAGGAAGCAGGTACTCACCAGACACCAAATCTGCTGGCACCTTGATCATGGACATCCCAGGCTCCTGAACTGTGAGAAATAAATTTGTTCTTTATAAGCTACCCAGTCTAAAATATTGAAGCCCAAAAGGACTAAGACTGCCTTACTGACCCAGAAACCTAATTTGTTGGGAAGACAAACATTGGCCAAAGCTTACATTCACAGAGGTGTATGAATACACACACACACACACACACACACACACACACAGCCATTCTCTCATTCTCTTAATCCATGGTGAGAAGGAGATCTAATACTGGTTGGGGCGGGGTGGGGGTGGAGGGGAATGTGCCTTTCTAACCAAGGGAAATGGTTTAGTAATAGAACTAATCTGATTTAAGTACAGTCACAAAGTGCATAATTGAGGTCAAACAGTGGATTCAGTTTTACTCTGATATAGGAGAAAATAAGGTACAATTTCATGATTCAGGAGCCTAAAAATCACACACCAGCAAATTAACTTGGGCAAAATTGTTGGGAATGGTTTTAAATCCTAAAGTAACTAATAAAAAGACAAAGTATCACTCTTTCCACTAGATATTCAACTCATAAAGTGTGTATATGTATGCAAATTTATCCTCTCCAGTGAGGAAAGACTGAAACCCCTACCCAAGTTAACTCACTCCACATGGCAGAAAATATTTAATTTCAAGAACTGTGGGAAGACTACCATAAGTTATTTACTTGATATGAATGTCTATAAATTAAAGGAATACAGTTTTCAGGGTTTGGAATGGAAAGGCTATTGGTGGTTGTGGATGGTGGGAAGATTCATGGAATAAATTTATTATCCTTTAAAATATATTCTGATGGGGGAACAAGAGGCAGGCTGTTTTGTTTAAGTTTTTTCTTAATAACCTTTTTACTTTATTATTATTTTTTAATCCGCACTCGAGGACATTTTTTTCCCATTGATCTTCAGATGGAGTGGGAAGAAGGGAGAGAGAGAGAGAGAGTAACATGGATAAGAGAGAGACACATGGACGTTTTGCCTCCCGAAGACCCGACCCCGGGACGAACTGCAACCGAGGAACATGCCCTTGGCCAGAATCGAACCCGCCACTGTTCCGCGAGCCCACACTCCAACTGCTGAGCCAAACAGGCCAGGGCAACCTTTTTATTTCAGAACACAATTACGTTCACAGAATTATAGAGAGGATAGTACAGAGCTCCCTATACCCCGTACAAGACACGTTTTAAACTGCCTCCTCTACTTCCGCCCCCCACACTCCCCGACTGCTCTCTGCTTCGGCTACTCTCGGGTTTGGGCAGGGACGCCTTCACACAGGCAGCTTCGGGATGGTAACAAAACCCAGCTCCGTTCAACCTGCCCACCGCCCAGCTCAACTAGGTCAGGAGCTGAGCTCCCGAATCGCGAACGCCCCCGCCCCGCCCGGACAGGCGCCGAAGGCCTCGCCAACGTGGCTCCTCCGACCGCAGTCCCCGCGGCGAGCGGGAGGCAGGACCGGGGAAGGGCAGCCTCCAGAGGGAGGTGCCTGGGCCCCTGGGGGACGAGCCTGGGATGGGGCGGGGCCAGGTCAGCCCCCGACTTCAGGCCCCTCCTCCGAGGGCAGGTTCTCGAAGCCAAATGTGTTTGACCTCAAAACGTCCAGATCTCAGAGGCGTGGCACGCACGCACGCACGCACGCACCTGTGCACAGACGTTTCGGCGGTTTTGTTTAACGCGCACGCCCGGCGGTCTTCGTGGCGCAGCCCCCGGCTCTCCACAGCCAACACGCCCCCGCGGCCTCGCGCCCGCCCAGCCAGCTCCTCCAGCCCCGCCCTCGGCGGGCGCGCAAGGGCGGGCGCGCGCGCGTGAGCACGTCCGGGAAGCGCGCGCCGCCGCCGCCGCCGCCGCCGCCGCCGCCTCCGCCTCCGAGCTGGGCCGGAGTCGCCGGGAGTGGGGTTTGAAGATGGCCCGGACTGAGGGCCGTGAGGCCGCGTCTCCCGCTGTTTCTGCAGTCGCTGCGGACGCCTCGGTCCGCTCGTCGTCATGAGAGGTCAGGCCTCGGGGAAGCGGGCGGAGGCCGCGGCGAAGGGGCTCTGGGGACAGTAACTGAGACACTCGAAGCTCGAACGTGGGTGGAAAATTCTGTCCTGGGGATTCCGGAAGAGTTGTTTGCGTTTACTTTTCGTTTTTCTCCCCTTTCTTGCTCTTGCATGGAGGACGGTGGGAGGGAAAAGACGCTGAAACGGTCGCGTCCAGTGTTGGTGTCCCGAGGTTTGAGGAAATAAATAGCACCGTGGCGGCGGAGCAGCGGTGAGCGCTTACTGCGAGGAGCTGAACGCAGACCTCCGTGCAGTCCTGAGAAAGCTGTACCCAAACCTCCGGGGGAATAGAACGACCCGCCGTAACCCCGGCATCTGCCACAGAGAAGGCACGCTGGGGTTCCCACGCTGGCATCCCCGGCGGCTGCCCACGCGGATCGTTCGGGGACTCTCCTGCCGGTGGCCCCTTCGTGACTCCCCACTCGCCAGGCACGCCGGTGGTGGCATTTTTAATGGGCAGACTATGTGACTCTTACTCAGACTAGAGTGACCTAGTGATTACATGGTGACTCCCCAAGTCTCCCCATTTTAAAGGTATTTGGGTATTTATTGGAAGCATTTTTATTAGCTTTGGGAAAGCCGTTTCAGCATAGAACAAATTTATAGGTCACCAAAGTTGAAATGTTTATTTTCCATGGTGTATTTAATAAGGCATTAAGATTTAATTTTCTTCCTAGCCTATCCAAGCATTAGCAAATACGATGATTCTTATGAAATGTAGTGTCTACATTGGAGATGAAACTGCTCCAGATGGGCAGAAAAAATGTACTTAAGTAATAAAATATGAATGAGAACGGGTGCCCACATTAGTCACATCTACGGAGCACCTATACTCTGACCATTTTTGCTGATTCCTTATTTGAGAACTGGAGGCATCTGAAGCTCAGCTTCTTTTGTAACAGATTTTCCCTAAAAGATTTTTTGTGTAGGGCAGCAGAGCCTTGTTATTAGTGGAGGAGTCTAGTAACAAGTGATAGATAACCTGAAAATAATTAACCGATTGTAATTATCAGCCTCTCCTTTAGTGAATAAGATTGCTAGTGAGCAGTATATTACCTGTATTTAACTGTTCACTTAGAATATTTTCTGCTCTTTGATTTTTAGAAGACAGAGACCCAAAGCAAAGAAATCTGCGTCACAAAAAGGATTCAAGGGTCATGCAAGCCAACTGTAGCCAATTGCACAGAGCTGCAGGTAGTGAGGATGCCTCAGCCTCCCAGTGTGTCCACACAAAATTGACAGGAGAAGGTTCTTGTCTTCATTCTGGAGATGTGCATATCCAGATTAACTCCATACCTAAAGAATGTGCTGAAAATCCAAGCTCCAGAAATATAAGGTCAGGTGTCCATAGCTGTACCCATGGATGTGTACACAGTCACTTACGGAGTCACTCCCATAACGAAGCAAGGCAGCCTGATGATACTTCCATGGAGTCTGAAGATCATGGTAGTAGCTCCTTTTCAGAATTCCGGTATCTCTTCAAGTGGCTGCAAAAGAGTCTTCCATATATTTTGATTCTGGGTGTTAAACTTGTTATGCAGCATGTAACAGGTAGGGTATAATAAAATATTGAATTGTTTTATTGCTAAATTCAGTAAATGTAATTCCTTGATTGGTAAATCTTTAACCTATGTATTTTTGTTACTTATTTTCTGCTAGCTTTTAAAATTGTAAATGTTTCCTTTAAATTCATGTCATTGTCTTGGCTCTTTGATTTTTTTTTTCTTCTTGCGATTAACTGGAACTTATTATCTAACAGGAATTTCTCTTGGAATTGGACTGCTTACAACTTTTATGTATGCAAACAAAAGCATTGTAAATCAGGTTTTTCTAAGAGTAAGTATAACAACTAAAAAAATTATTAAATGTTTCTCTGTGTAGATATACTCATTTTTTTGGTTTTGTTAACCCTTACCCGAGTGTTTTTTCTATTGGTTTTTAGAGAGAGGGGGAGGGAAGGAAGGTGGGAGGGAAAAAGAAACATCAATGTGAGAGAGAAACATCAGTTGGTTGCCTCCTACACATGCCCCAACTGGGCCAGGATCAAACCTGCAACCCAGGTATGTGCCCTTGACCAGGATTCAAGCCCAAACCTGATGCTCTAACCACTGTACAACACCAGCCAGGGCTATATACTAATTTTTGATAGAAATAGGAACTAAGATAGTTTCTTTGACAAATTTAAGTATATTGTAATATCTATTATTATATATTAAGTTTTGTTATTTAAATGACCTGGCATACAGCTGAAATGTTTCACATTATTTTCTTTGTAATTTTGGTTCCTGATAGAAAAAGAAAAACTGGACAGAAGGTTTGAAAGTTTAGAACAGTCAGCTAGTGTGTCTCAGTGATTGTCGACCCATGCACCAAGAGGTCGCCAGTTCATTCCTGGTCAGGGCACATGGCTGGGTTTCAGGCTCGATCCCCGGTGTGGGAGGTCACTGATGGATGTTTCTATCTCATCTATGTTTCTATCTCTCTCCCTTCCTCCTTCTCTAAAAATAAATTAAAAAAAATTTTTTTTTTAAGTTGAGATTACACTCACTATTTGATCTGATTTGTAAAGTGCTTTCATGTTTTATGAGTTAGTTTAACCACAGTAAGTAATATAATCATCATTAAAACTTTACCTGTTGCACTAAAAGTAATTAAACAAAATGTACATTGAATAAGTGGGTATTGAACTATTTAGGTCGCTCTTATTTTAAAAAATTAAACCCAAGAAGTTTTTCCATAACATAAGTTATAAAAGTATCCTAGAGTCCTATTCATATAAATTGGGAAAACTAGGATTAGTTTATAAAACTTCATATTTAAAGGGCAATATTTGTGTATGGATAATGCATTCTGACCTGGAAATTTTTAGTTAGAACCTAACCATGAAATTCAGGGTTTAAAACTAGTAAAACTTTTAATTGAATTAGTAATTAAAATTTAATTTTAAGAAACAAATTATCTTATTACATTCTTATTGAATGACTGAGAATTTTAAAATTATACTTGTAAACCCTGACAACTTAAATACATTTGTATTTTTTTGGTACGTGCCCCTAGTGGGAACCGAACCCAGGACTCTCTGGTCCACAGGCCAACGCTCCAACCACTGAGCCAAACCAGCCAGGGCTTAAATACATTTTTTAAACATTTTGTTTTGTCATGGAGGCAAAAATAGGGAGTTGCAGAGGTAAAGTCTGCATTTGGGTGGATCCTTTGTGTCAGCTTGTAGAAGATTTGACTTCTTTGAAACATAGGTAGTATTTTTATATATTGAAGAAATTTGCATTTAAAAAATTTGTTTAAAGCCCTGGCTGGTTTGGCTCAGCAGTTAGAGTGTCGGCCTGCAGTCCAGAGAGACCCGGGTTCCGTTCCCGCTAAGGGCACGTACCTCGGTTGAGTTTGTCCCCAGCCCTGGTTGGCAACCACTCGATGTGTCCCTTTCACGTTGATGTTTCTCTCTCTCTCTTTCTCCCTCCCACTCTATCTGAACAAAATATGGGAAAATGTCCTCGGGTGAGGATAAAAAATAAAGTATTTTTAAAATAAAATAAAATATGAGTTCTGTTTTGTTCACTAAAGATATATAAAATAGAATGTGATGATGTACAATTTAACAGATATTCTATATTTTCAGTAAGTTGAATCTATTAAAACATTCTAAAGTAATACATTAGTCATTAAAGTAGTTTAATGATAATTAAAATTCTGACATAATCCAAAGTAATAAATTATTAAATTGTTTATTTTTCAGGAAAGGTGCTCAAAGATTCAGTGTGCTTGGTTACTGGTATTCTTAGCAGGATCTTCTGTTCTTTTATATTACACCTTTCATTCTCAGTCACTTTATCACAGGTAATTAGAGGTCCAAGTACACAATCACATTTTTTATGTAATAATATATTCCTTAGCACTTTGCATATATTTTACTTGCACATACTTACTGTTAGAGTTCAGTTTTTACCTGTCCCCTTCCAAGATTGAAAGCTCTAGGTGACTTTTTCAGTTTTGCATACCCAGTGTCTTGGCTCTTAGCAGGTGTTTGATAAATATTTAAATTTTGATACTTAAATTTTTACTTATATAATCAATAGTTACTAAGTACCATTTAGTTAATATTGGTGGTGGTCTTTTAATTTTTATTTTTGACAAGTGTATTTATTTAAGTTGTACATGATGTTTTGATATGCGTATACATTGTATGATGAGAACATGATCTTTTGTTTCTAAAAGGAAGGAGAAGACCTGCTAAAGGATAGTAGTTAAGTTTCCATGTTAGGTGGAAGTGTTCTGAATTTTTGGCTTTAATCAGATTAGAAGTCCTAGTTTTCAGTAGAGTTGGAGAGGTGTGGACAATCTTAGATATAATTTGTAGGTAGATCCAATATCATTCAGATTGGACTGGGTGGGTAGGTAGAGGTGGGAAATTAAGGATAACACCTAGTATTTTAGTCTAAGCAACTGGCTGGATGGTGGTACTATTTACTGAGCTCAGGAAGACTGGGAAAGTAACTGGTTTTAAGGGGAAAATCAATAATTTTGTTTTGAACATATTAAGTTTGAAAGGTCACATAGAACTATTAAGAAAGTGAGTATAGATATATGTCATGGGTTCAGAGTAGAGGTTAGGGCTATAAATTTTAATGTTACCAGCATATGATTAATATTTTTAAAACCAAAACTAACCAGGGAAAGTGTAGTCAGAGAAGAGGGCCCAGGACTGGACATGCCCACAATTAGAGGAGGAGAAGCAAAGGAAACCAAGGAAAAAACATAAGTCACAAATGAGAACAATTAGGAAGGGTAGTGTGAGAAGTCTACGAAGAAAATAATTCAGGGAGGGAAATGGAAAAAGAAACCTGACCTTTGAATTTAGCAAGATGGAAGTAACTGGTGATCTTGACAAAAGCAATTCAGTGGAAAGGAGGGAATGAAATTCTGATCGGAACTGACTGAGAGAATGGCAGACATCTAGTTTTAGTGAATTTTTTTAGATTACAGGCTAGAAAGGTATCAACCATGACAAGTTAGGAAGACTGTTCTTTTCTTTATACTATGGAGGAAAGATCAGAAATTCATACATTGTAAAAGTCTCTTTAAAATAAGTAAAATGATCTGTTTATGTGAACTCTAACACTTGCCAAATTAATATATTTTACACATCAAAATAAATATTCACTAGCAAATTAAAAATCCCTAGGAATACTTTACCTTTGTATGTTGCTCTGGTAAGTTTTGATGTTTTTCTCTTGGTAGCTTAATTTTTTTAAATCCTACTTTGGATCATTCAAGCTTCTGGGAAGTACTTTGGGTTGTTGGAATTACAGACTTCATTCTGAAATTCTTCTGCATGGGCTTAAAATGCCTTATTTTATTGGTGCCTTCTTTCATCACGCCTTTTAAATCCAAGGTAAGAAACTAACATGTTTTGTTGGTATGATGTTAGCAAACCATGTTAATACTATTTAGTCTCAACCTAATTCTAATTCTATTATCTCAGACTAGCAATCATTTTCTCGAAGACTTGCACCAAAATATTAATCTGTTATAAAAAACTGAATTATATTTATTTCAGATTCATCTAAAAATCAGTTCCCACATCATATATAGAAAATTATTTAGATTTGTAATGTTGTTCTCCTCCAGGGCATTATCAATTAATTGATAACTAACTGTATACTGTTACTCAGTTTTCCCACATTCAATAAAAACTTCATTTTTTAAAAAAATTTTTTTCCTCAACTGAGGATATTTGTCTACTTATTATCAGATAGAGTGGGGGGGGGGGGAGAGAGAAGGAGACAGAAACATCAATGTGATAGAGTCACATGGACTGGTTGCCTCCCGCACAACCCAACCAGGGCTGGGGATTAACCGCAACCGAGGTACGTGCCCTCGACTGGAACTGAACCCGCGATTCATCGGTCCATGGGCCAACGCTCTAACTGCTGAGCCGAACCGGTCAGGGCTCAATAAAAATTTTTGTAATCAGCAAAAGCACACATACTTAAGTTTTACTTGTAGTATACATAAACCATTTTCACTGTCATTCTTTAAAAATTCTTTTAAAAAAACACTCCTCAGTGACTGCAACATGTGAGAAGCACTTTGAGTCAGTTGTAACCATTATGATTATGAAGATTAATTTTATAGTTATTTGTGATTAATCCATATATTCATGATGTTCTCAGTCCAATATGAAGTATTTGTGCAATGTATATAAATAAAAAGGGTAACTCTACTTGTTTTCTTTTTCTTTCCTTTTTAGGGTTACTGGTATATGCTTTTAGAAGAATTATGTCAGTATTACCGAACTTTTGTTCCCATACCAGTTTGGTTTCGTTACCTTATAAGCTATGGGGAGTTTGGTAATGTAACTAGAAGGAGTCTTGGGATATTGCTGGCTTTCCTCTACCTCATACTAAAAGTAGGTAACATTAATTTTGTCACTGTATGATTCATATGATTACAGATTTTATTTACTATTGCTTTTCTCTTTAACTGTTCTATAGTTTACTTTATCTTCCTATCACTAGTTTAACATAATAGATTCTATATGTAGTTAGATGGAGAAATGGAAATGAGATCTTTATTTTAATCCAGTGGTTCTCAGATTTTATTGGGGGAGTAGACTTCCACATAGCATGGCTTATCTAAGATGTGGAGAAGGGGGTAGTAAGTAGAATAGAACATACCCATCTCCAGCAGTAGCATGTCATACTGTAATTCTGAAACTATTGGAGTATCTTATCCTGTTTCTTCTATGCCTGTTCCCCTCAGCTTAACCATTTTATGAAACTTTAAAATCGAAATATGTTAAAAACATGTGAACCAGATAAAATGGCCTTTTCTTTTACATAGTTAACTTTATATTTGTCTTGACCAAATTGTACCTCTAGGTATTCAGATATACTATTTTTTTGTTGTTGTTAAGAATTGGCTGAAATCTGTAAATTGAGTAAAATATTTCATAATTGAACTTTAAATATTTTTAGATTGAAATGATTAGTTGTGATATGTGATGAACATTAAGTTATTTATCAGTATTTAGTATTATGGTGCTTTAGCTTTGATCTCTGGGTTTAGCAGATATAGCTCTATTAATGAAGACTCCCTTATTTCCTCTTTCAGCTTTTGGATTTTTTTGGACATCTAAGAAATTTCAGACGAGTTTTGCGAACATTTTTTACACGACCAGTAAGTACTTTTTAATATTTAAGAAAAAAACACTTTTAATTTTTCTTCACTACAAAAAAATTTTTTTTTTTTATCCTCACCCGAGGACATTTTTCCATTTTTTGTACAGATAGAGTGGGAGGGAGGGAGGGAGGGAGGGAGGGAGGGAGGGAGGGGGAGAGAGAGAGAGAGAGAGAGAAAAAGAAAGAAACATAGAAACATCGACATGAAAGGGATACATCGAGTGGCTGCCACCCATACAACCGACCAGGGCCGGGGACAAACTGCAACCGAGGTACATGCCCTTAGTGGGAATCGAACCCGGGTCTCTCTGGACCGCAGGCCGATGCTCTAACCGCTGAGCCAAACCGGCCAGGGCTACAAAAAATTTTTAATTCAGCAATTTTACAAATGTGGATTTCATAATTACATTTTTAAAACTTTTCTGGTACTTTGGCACTTAGGGCTATGAGAATGATTTAGGAGTTTTATCTATGACTAGTTTCTTGAGTTGCACACCGATCTGATATACCTGGTAGTTGATAGAGTGCTTATGTATTTGAATATGCTTCTCGCCCCTTCTAATCACTTGGCATTCTTAATGGTTTATAAATATTCCCTTAAAAACCTTGTCATGAATTTTGTTTCCCTTCCTTTTTTAATCAACAAATAGTGGCTTCATGTATTTCCATTAATTCTTTTTTTTTTCATTAATTAATTTTTGTTACAGATGTTTCTCCTTTTTCCCCCATTGATTCCCCCCTCCCCCTCCCATTAACTCTTTATTCAACTTCTATGACAGCACTTCCACTATAATTTATTGTGTATATGAAAAAAGGTCATTACCAAAAATGTGTGTTGAAATTTTACTGGAAAAATTTCTCTAATACTCAACTCTATAAACAAATAAGTTCAAGTCATGGAATTTAACAATAAATTGACACTCCAATGCCAATTATAAACTGGCATTATTATGTGATTCTACTGATGTTACAAATTTCAGACAAAGGATGACATAGACTCATTTCCTATTTTTGTTGGGGAAAAAAAAACAAAAAAAAGCATTGTATATGCAAAGTGGACCACACTATAACTAGTCAAGGCACCCTTTCTTTAAGATATAGTAATGTAGTAATAAGTTTTGCTGCATATTATTCAGATTTCATTCTTTAGACAAAGTACAAATATAATGGAGAGTTCAACTTTGGTCATATTTAATTCATTATGTATCAGCCATTTAACTCTAATCTAGTAACGTTTGTGCTGAATTAGTTTGACACTCTGTGAAGCATAGAGAGAATATCAGTCATCAACACTCTTGATTTAGTCTTGAGTCTCTTAAGAATATATACATAGACAACAATGCTGGGGGCGGGGTAAGGGTGGGAGGATCTGGAGGAGGGTATCTGTCAATGGGGGGAAAAGGAGAGACATCTATAACAAAAATAAATTAAAAATATTTTAGTCCTGGCCGGTTTGGCTCAAACTGGCCCTGGGAGCTTTGGCCTGCGGTCCAGAGAGACCCAGGTTCGGTTCCCGCTAAGGGCACGTACCTCGGTTGCAGTTTGTCCCCGGCCCTGGTTGGGTCATGCGGGTGACAGCCACTCGATGTGTCCCTTTCATGTCGATGTTTCTCATTCTCTCTCTCCTTCCCACTCTATCTGAACAAAAAATGGGAAAATGTCCTCGGGTGAGGATAAAAAATAAAAAAGTATTTTTAAAATAAAATAAATATAAAAATAATCCTCTATGAATTTGTTTGCTTATTTGTTTTGTTTTTTAGAGTCCACATATAATTGAAATCATATAGTTTTTGTCTTCCTCTGTCTTATTTTACTCAGAAACAAACTCATAGATACAGAGAACAAACTAATGATTACCAGATAGCAGGGTGTTGGGGAGATGAGTAAAAAAAGTGAAGGAAACTAAGATGTACAAACTGCCATTTATATAATAAATCATGGGGCATAGGGAATATAGTCAGTAACATCGTAATAACTACATGTGGTGTCAGATGGTGACTAGGCTTATAGTGATCACTTCATAAGGTTTATAAATGTCAAATCACTAATGTACATCTGAAACTAACATGTCAACTATAATTTAAAAATAAAATTAAAAAATAATCTAAATAGATTAATTTGTAATAAAATAAAAGCTTTTCAGCCCTGGCCAGTAAGACTCAGCATAACTGCTGACCAGAGTCACAGGTTCGATTCTGGTCAAGGACATGTACCTTGGTTACAGTTCAGTCCCTGGCCCCAGTTGGAGTTGTGCAGTAGACAGCCAATCAGTGTGTCTCTCTCACATCGATGTTTTTCTCTCTCTTTCCTTCCCCCTCCCACTCTATCTGAAGATAAATGGAAAAATATCCTTGGGTGAGGATTGTAAATAGACTAGATAGATAGATAGATAAATAGATAGATAGATTAGATAGCTTTTCAGCCTAGCCCAGCCAGTGTGGCTCAGTGGATTGAGCGTTGTCCCATGGACTGAGAGGTCCCAGTTCAATTCCCAGTCAGGGGCATTTGCCCAGGTTGCAGGCTTGATCCCCGGTGCGGGGTGTGCTGGAGGCAGTTTCTCTCTTCCTTCCTTTCTAAGAAAGCAATGAAAACAAAAAAAAATTTTAACTTTTCAGCCTAAGTATCTGTAATGTACTTGGCTAAATGACACCGAAGGGAAATTGGTTATCCATCAGTAACCTGAAAAAACTTGATTTTTAATATTTTTATCCTTTGTCTTAGGTTTGATTGTTAACCCTCAATATTTAGTACAAGAAGTTTAGATCAGAGCTTCAGATTGTTGAGTCAAGTCATGCTTTGCTCTCATTACCATGAATAACTGAACTTGGGTGTTCATACTTCCCTTTAGCCACCTTTTCCCCATCATTTCTATAGAAAGCTGATCTCATCTATAACATTTTGTCCCATCTAGTTAATAACTAAATTCTCCTGAATTTGGTGAGGAATTATTAAGATCTTAAAGAGATCAGAAAAACTACTGTAGGACCTTAGACGAAGAGGAAATTCAAAGAATTGCCTTACTTCAGATGGTTAATTTTGACAGTATAACTACCCAAGTGACATTTTGCAGTTAGTTATTTTATAAAATTTTATCATTCTTTGCTAGTACTAAATGCTCTGACTTTTGTGATAATTAAGGATAATAATTAAAATTATTTTTAGATTTAGTGGCAGGACACTGTTCAGTCGTCCCCAAATGTTCATATTGAACTCACCTGGAAAGCTTACAAAAATTAAAGATTATAGGTCCAGTATGTCTAGACTTATTGAGTCAATCTCCAGTATGGAGCACAGTATAAAGCTGTCTCTCCACATGAGTTACAGGTAGTCAGCCAAGCTCTGGATTGACTTTGTTGAACCACTGCCATAGATAATAAGTGGACTCAATTTAACAATATGGGGTCACCTAATACGTTAATATAGATACGGGTTTTGTAATACTTAGTTATATTTCAGATCACTTAGTCTCTTAAGCCAGTTGAATCCATGTTGAATTTGAAGCCCTATAATTTTTCGAGAATCCAGTGAATCTAAATATCTTTCAAGATCCTATTATGTATTTACTTAATGAGCACCTTGGTGCAGTCCATCAAGATGTGGTTCTACACATGTAGTTCAGCTCTGAAATGTTTGTATCTTTTGGGAGAGTTTTCAAGTGCCTAATTCCAGGGAGATTTAAGAAATACAGCATCACCTACATATTGGAAGAACAGGAAAGAAATTTGTAGATGAACATAACTTCTTACCTTTATAGAGTTATGGAGTGGCTGCCAGCAAGAGACAGTGTTCAGATGTGGATAATATTTGTTCAATATGTCAAGCTGAATTTCAAAAGCCAATTCTTCTCATCTGTCAGGTAATTATATTTTAAGCAACCTAAATACAACACTTCTTTGGGACTTGCAAGGCACATTTACGCTAAAAGGAAAAAAACTACAGTGTTTAGCAGAAAGTACCGTTTAGGGCACATACTAGTAGTAATTTCTTATTTGTGATTAAGGGTTTGGTAGATTTAGTAGTAAGTTCTTATTTGTGGTCAGGAGTTTGGTAGCTTAGCTCAGTTTTGTCCCTTATGTTCTAATGATTTTTATGCAGAAGAGTGTATGAAGGAGGAAAAGAATTCAAATGGAAAAATGTTTACCAATGTGATAAAAAAAAAAAAAAAAAAGGCTATTTTTAATAATGGATATTAGTATTTTAAAATACCAGCATTTATTATTGGATTGTGGAAGGCCCCTTCCTTTACTTTATGGCAGTTACTCTCAGACTTGATTAAGCCATTAAGTCATTTTATTTGATCTTAAAGTTACCACCTAGGGATAGCCTGTATTTGATTGAACAATGTAGTCAAAAGAACACTAGTGGCTCTTACCAGTTTCTCTGTTATCTCATTTGTAAAATGAAGGGATTAGTGTTCTCCAAAATCCCATTCAGCTCTATAGAGTATGATTGTCTACAATGTGATGCATTTAAAATAAAAATATTATCAAGTTTGAAATATAGTTCTTAATTCCCTTACAGCATATATTTTGTGAAGAGTGCATTACCTTATGGTTTAACAGAGAGAAAACATGTCCGCTGTGCAGAACTGTGATTTCAGACCATATAAACAAATGGAAAGATGGAACCACTTCATCACACCTTCAAATATATTAAGTTCTGTAAATTAATAAGGCTACAAAACACTTTATTGTAGTCCAGTTTATCAAAAGACTGAAAGAACTCCATGTTTTAAAGAATATATAATATTCAAACTAATGCATATACGTTTATTCTATCCTAATTATTTGACCGATGATTGCAGTGTTAAATTGTTTTTTTGTTGTTGTTGTTAATGTTACCAAAAAAGCAAATGGATAACCAGAACTAGTTCTTAGAGGATCTCAGGTATTCTTTCCTGACATTATTTTCAAAATAAAGAATATTTTTCTTGACATTTTAAGATATACATTATCTGAAAGTAGAATTTTCTTAGCATTGACTTTTATAATTGCCATTCTAAAAATTCTTAAGATTTTCATAAAAGTTGTATTTTTAAATGAAATTCTAAATGCAATATTTTATCTGTAACAGTCATATTTTCTCAGTGAAGATTTACTGAGGATAATATATTTTAATATTGTATTCTCTATAGTATGATTAATAATCAATGAGAATAGGTGATTTAAATGTATTGTTTGTGGACCTCATACATACAATCCTGCCATCATCATTTTTAATGTTTGTGATCTTGCTTTTTGTACAGTGCCATGAACTATCTTGAGGTAACTATTAAAATAATTCACATGGATTACAAATAGCTGGCTTCACTGATGATTTGAATTGAGTAACAAACAAGACCAACTCAAATCTTAGAAAAGAATTCCCCTCATTACTAATCTTCAGAAGTCTTGGAATTTAGCCCTGGCCGGTTTAGCTCAGTGGTTAGAGTGTTGGCCTGCGGTCCAGAGAGACCTGGGTTTGGTTCCCGTTAAGGCCACGTACCTTTGTTGTAGTTTGTCCCTGGCTCTGGTTGGGTTGTGCGGGTGGCAGCCATTCGATGTGTCCCTTTCACATCGATGTTTCTCTCCCTCTCCCTCCCTCCCTCCCTTCCACTCTATCTGAACAAAAAATGGAAACATGTCCTCGGGTGAGGATAAAAAAAAAAAAGTCTTGGAATTTAATACTTGAATCACCATTACTTGAGAGATTAAAGCTTGCAACCAGATGACTTTGGATTGTGTGGTTTGTTTGCCTCTAACTTGTTTGTGTAGTATGGTGGGAATAGGAATAAGGCACTCTCTCCCCTTGAAACCTCCAAGGGGGAACCAGGATCTATAACAGAAATCTGAAGTGGTAGTTATATCTAAGTTTAGAATACAGGGCCTCTGCCCATTTTCTCTATTATCATTTATCAGTTTGAAAACAAGGAAGACAGAGTGGAAAGAAGTTAGGAGGCAGAGGTAGAAAACAAATTCGCAGTGTTAATAAGACAAAGGCTAAACCAGCATATAGATTAAAGAACTTCAGAAAGCTTGTAACATTTTTCCTTGGGTAAATATTGCCAGGTTATAAGTGCACCTGTTTCTAGTCATTCAGTGATGATATATTTAACTATTACCTCCTTTAATAACACTGCAAATATTAAAACAAGCTTACTTGGTCTTATATAACCTTCCTGACTTTGTGGTAAAGCTAATCATTATTTAGGTGTTCAGCAAGGGATGCATAAGAAAGGCAATTTGGGCTTAGAATTTGAGTGTGAAGAAAGAAAATACTTGTTAAAAACACAAGAATAGCCCTGGCCGGGTTGGCTCAGCGGTTGGAGCGTCGGCCTGCGGTCCTGAGAGACCCGGGTTCGGTTCCCGCTAAGGGCGCGTACCTCGGTTGCAGTTTGTCCCCGGCCCTGGTCGGTTGTGCGGGTGGCAGCCACTCGATGTGTTCCTTTCACATCGATGTTTCTCTCTCTCTCTCTCTGTTCCTCTCCCTCCCTCCCACTCTACCTGAACAAAAAATGGAAAAATGTCCTCGGGTGAGGATTAAAAAAAACAAAAAACAAAAACAAAAACACCCCACAAGAATAGCATCTTACTACATGTGTTACTTCATCCCTATTATACCTACTTACCAATGGCTATATAGATAGCTTTGTTTCTTTTTACTTTTTTTTTTCTTTATTGATTTTAGAGAGGGAGAGAGAGAGAGAGATAGAAACATCAATGAGAACATCGACTGGCCACTCCCTGCACGCCCCCAACTGGGGATCAGACCCACAGCCTGGTCATGTGCCCTGCCTGGGATCGAACTGTCAACCTGGTGCATGGGTTGAAGCTCAACCACTGAGCCACACTGGCCAGGCTAGCTTTGTTTCTTAATATGATTTAACAATAAAGGAGGTCCCTGGTGGACAGTGGGTTTTTTTTTTCCAAACAAGAAAGCATTTCACATATGGATTTAAAAGGGGGAAATGTAATAGGAGAGCTATGCCACCCACTAACAATACTGATGAACTGGAACCATTTCTCTACTTCTATCCTATTCCTTCACCTCAAAAACGGAAATAGAGATTCAAAATCCCATGTTTTCTGTGAATTCAGACGACCCCTCTGAAAGACTGTTTTATCAGCATTAACAGTCACTACTTTGTCTTATAAAAAAAGTCAAATCAGTTTGAGAACTTCTGTAGAGAAATCATCTTGGCAAGTGTGATAGAATTGCCTCATAAATAAAAAGTGACTTAGCCCTGGCCGGTTTGGCTCAGCGGTTAAAGCGTCGGCCTGCGGTCCTGAGAGACCCGGGTTCGGTCCCCGCTAAGGGCACGTACCTCGGTTGCAGTTTGTCCCCGGCCCTGGTCGGTTGTGCGGGTGGCAACCGCTTGATGTGTCCCTTCACATCGATGTTTCTCTCTCTCTGTTCCTCTCTCTCCCTCCCACTCTACCTGAACAAAAAATGGAAAAATGTCCTCGGGTGAGGATAAAAAAAAATAATAATAAAAAAAAATAAAATAAAAAGTGACTTATACAAAACTTTACCCACTTTACACTAGATATATTAAGCCAGGTAAAATGGATTTGTACACTACATTATTTTGTGTATACACATCAAATAATCAAATGTAGCTGACAGGTGTGGCTGAACAAACTTGACTGTTAGCATAAAGTCTTTCTAGTGTTTTTATGTGAAACTAACTTTCATATAACATTTCACATTAACTTTTTAAAAAATAAGCAATCAATTCAATTTAGAAATCACAGACGTGTAATATATAAAATCAGTTCTAAAACTTGTTATATATTTAAGTAACTTCAATTTCTCAACAGAAATAGTTCTACAGCTGTCATTCCTCACATATATAGTCGAGTTGATCCTTGAACAATGTGAGGATTAGGGGCACCCACACTCCCAGTCAAAATCTACATATAACTTTTGACTCTACAGTTGGCCCTTCGAATCATGGATATGGAGGACCAAACGTATTTATTGAAAAAATGCTGCATATAAGTGGACACGTGCAGTTCAAACCCATACTTGATCAAGGGTCAACTGCAGTTTATTAAATATGAGAACCTGAACATGTCTGGCGTGTTAATGAAAAAAATTATTGAAACCATTTGTGCACCTGATATTTCTTCCTATCTTAGGATAATAAAAAAAAATCACTTCTATATTATGTTCATTCAAATTTGCATTTAATTTCTATTTACATTCATTCAATTCGAAATCAGATAATACAGTAAACTAAATACAAGATGAAAAGCAGAAAAGGTGTTACCCTCATAGCACTCCTAATAAGGCAGCTGAAGAATTTTACTCTGACAGATGCAAAGCCAACTTGGGATAGGAAAAAAAAAACCCTAGTTTAAAGAACAAAACAGATTAACCCATCTTTCAGATGTTACTTCAGATAATCCACTGAGATAATACTTGTGCTGTAGCGGTAAATTAAGAATCACACAAGAAAAGTTCTATATCAATCAGCAACAGACTATAGGTCACAGACTATAGGTCATAGTGTGACAAATAATTTTATGATTGGTTTGTCCAGCTTGCCTAGTGTCTACTCCTATGAAAAAAGGTAAATGTTTGGACACTGATGTTATTATTTGAGAAATTAACCATTTTCAAAGCCTCAAAATCCATTCTTCATAAATTCAACATTTCTCATGAGAATAATCTTAGATCTAGCCCTTGTAAGCTAGGAACCATATGACTCAGTTACCAAAATAGTTAGGTCCTATATTAAATATAAAATCCAAGGCTCAGTATATCAACACTATTGAAGATGCATCTTATTTATAATTATTTATTACTTAAAGAATGTTGAATTTATGGAGCATCATACATGCATTCTCCCCTCACCCCACCCTCATTATCTTCTATCTCAAAAAAATAGCATGGAATAATCCTTTTTGAAGGATTCAAAGTAGTTAAGACCATAAAGGGGAAAAGAATGTAATTTTCTAAAAAATATGATTCAAGTTCAATAATTAATACTTTACACATTGTTAATCACAGCTGGTTTATAAATCCCAGTTTATTCTGTAATGCTACAAACCTTATAAAATCAAAATTAGTAAACTTCAGTTCTCAGTGACTATATTTTAATTAAAAAACAGCATGTATAAAATATCCTGTAATAGTTGGTTTTAAAGAAAATAATTAAGTGATGAAAGAAAAGCAAGTAATCTCTTTTATACACTTACCTGGAAGAATCATAAAGAACCCTCTTAGAAACTCAAGACTAGTAATATTGATATCATATATTTTAAACTATGCTTGGATTTTTACAAATAAATATAGGGTAAGCCATATTGCATAGGTGTGTGCTTTCTGTCTGTGACACTAAAGTGGCACTTGACATGTTTTCACAGTCATAGCAGGGATATCCATTTATGAAACAATTTTCTCAATAAACCTGCCACAGCATAGGAAATTATGTTAACTTGGAAAACTGTATTTGTATGGATGATAGATGTGCAATTAATGCTTTTTATGCAGAAAAGTTGCAGTGTTTGCCACTATTGCTGGCAGTACTAATTATGAAAATGGTTTAACTACAGGGTGTTTATAGCCAGCCAATCACAGTGCAAATGTTAGTAGCAAGTAGGACTGAGGAGGAGTATTTTGGTGTAAAAATTTTGCTGGAATTTGGTCAGGCAGTCAACACTATAGTTAGTAAATATATTTGAAAACAAGTATCAGGGTATCACAAGTCATTTACTGTCTGAAATAGAGTCTATACATATCACCACAGCTTTTTGGGGTCTGTTTTTTTCAGATATCATAAACTGTCAGAGAACAAAGATCTGCACTTTAAATACAATTTCTGCCCTTATCATTATTGTAGCTTCTAATTTATTAGCTACAGTTATAAAATCCTCAATAGGCTGCTGCAATAATGGGGAAAGGGGGGTTAGAGGGAATGATTAAAAAAAAAAAAGTTTTCTGTTCAAAGATGAACTGTTATCAGTTCTTTCATTTATTGCCACAATTGAAAAGGTATATTCCCA